AAAAGAGAGTACCCTAGCAACCGTTCATCAACAGCTATATCTCGGCATCAGAACATCGTAGAGACTTGGGGATTGGCTCGTTTGACTCATGCTAGCAAACGGAACTTCCTATATGCTACACATGCTAGCAGTGACTAGCTACATGCTAATATTGACTAGCCATGTACTGTAACTTGCTAGAAATGCTCACTAAGTATAAATATTTCATCAGGCATGTATGTGAGGCTTGCCTAGTAACCACCCAGGGTACCCTAGCAACTGCCTAGCAACCACCCAAATTACCCTAGCAACCGCCTAGCAACCACCTAGCAACCGCCTAGTAACGCCTTAGTAAGGGCCTAGCGACCACTCAGGACACCCTAGCAACCGCCTAGCAACGCCTTAGCAACCACTCAGAATACCCTAGCAACCACCTAGCAACACCTTAGCAACCACCTAGCAACCACTTAGGACACCTTAGCAACCGCCTAGCAACACCTTAGCAACCACCTAGCAACCACTCAGGACACCCTAGCAACCACTTAGAATACCCTAGCAACCGCCTAGCATCACCTTAGCAACCACCTAGCAACCACTTAGGACACCCTAGCAACCACCTAGCAACGCCTTAGCAACCACTTAGAATACCCTAGCAACCGCCTAGCAACACCTTAGAAACCACCTAGCAACCACTCAGGACACCATAGCAACCGCCTAGAAACACCTTAGCAACCACTCAGAATACCCTAGCAACTGCCTAGCAACGCCTTAGCAACCACTTAGAATACCCTAGCAACCACCTAGCAACACCTTAGCAACCACCTAGCAACCACTCAGAACACCCTAGCAACCGCCTAGCAACACCTTAGCAACCACCTATCAACCACTTAGGACACCTTAGCAACCACCTAACAACACCTTAGCAACCACCTAGCAACCACTCAGAACACCCTAGCAACCGCCTAGCAACACATTAGCAACCACTCACGACACCCTAGCAACCGCCTAGCAACACCTTAGCAACCACATAGCAACCACTCAGAACACCCTAGCAACCATTCAGAACACCCTAGCTACCAAAACAAATACATTGTACCCCATCGATTTGCCACGCAAACCCCATTCACATTTCCTTTAGGAAATGTACAATTCTAGTTTTTATTATTCTTCTGAGACTAAATTTCTGACTCTATCTCCTCCTAGAGCTTTTGAGCTATTACCACCAAACTCGCTCCAGACCTCCAAACTATTCTGACTCGTGTTGCTATATCTCCTCAGACTGATCCGACTTTCGGTTTTCCGAAAAACGTCCCGGGACTGTCGGAAAAATCCCATAGGCTTAACATTGGATCAAACTTTGTGAGCTCATAACTCTGCGTCAGACTGTCACACATACTTCTAACTGGGCTCATTTAACTCAGACTATCAAACTGCCAATGACTGATCACCTTTAAACTTTCTAGCCACGCCCTAGCAACCACTTTTTGACCCTAGTAACTGTCCCATAGACTTCTATTCAAAAGACTCTCATTGACTTAACATGGGATCAAACTTTATGAGCTCATAACTCTGCATCAGACTGTCCTACAGACTAATGGCTGAGCTTATTTAACTCAGACTACCAAACTGCCAATAACTGATGAGCTTTTAACTTTCTAGCCACACCCCTAACTACCACATACTGCACCCTAGCAACTGTCCCGTAGACTTCCATTACAAAAGACTCTCATTGACTTAACATGGGATCAAACTTTGTGAGCTCATAACTCTGCATCAGACTGTCATAGAGACTAATGGCTGAGCTCATTTAACTCAGTCTAGCCAGCAGCCAATCACTGATGGCCTTTTAACTTTCTAGCCACACCCCTAACTACCACATACTTTACCCTAGCAACTGTCCTATAGACTGTAATTAGCTGTGCTATTAAATGCTTATAATTCTAACATGCTAATGACATGCCAATCATGCTAGCAACATGCTACTCATATGCTAATCATGCTAATGACATGCTAACTCATACTGGAAACATGCTAATGACATGCTAATTTGTACTAGAATCATGCTAGTAACATGCTAATTCATACTAGACTCACGTTAATAACTGGCCTACATGCATATCTTTGCTTATCAGTGTCCTATTGACTTGGGGGATGGCTCATCTGACTCACACAACCAATGAGCATCTCAATATGATAATGAAGCTCACAAGCCACGCCCCCAAATTGATTCCATAGACTTCCATTAAAATAGGCCAAGATGCATATCTTTGCATAGCAGTGTCATAGAGACATGGGAGTTGGTTCATTTGATTTAGACAGCCAACCACATTCAAGTTCACTCTGTAACCTCGCCCATAGCAACAAAACAGAGTACCCTAACAACCATTCATCAACAGCTATATCCCAGCATCAGAACATCGTAGAGACTTGGAGATTGGCTCGTTTGACTCATACTAGCAAACGGAACTTCCTATATGCTACACATGCTAGCAGTGATTAGCTACATGCTAATATTGACTAGCCAAGTACTGTAACTTGCTAGAAATGCTTACTAAGTATAAATGTTTTATCAAGCATGTATGTGGGGCTTGCCTAGTAACCACCCAGGGTACCCTAGCAACTGCCTAGCAACCACCCAAATTACCCTAGCAACGGAGTAAGGGCCTAGCGACCACTCTGGACACCCTAGCAACCGCCTAGCAACGCCTTAGCAACCACTCAGAATACCCTAGCAACACATTAGCAACCACCTAGCAACCACTTAGGACTCCTTAGCAACCACCTAGCAACACCTTAGCAACCACTCAGAACACCCTTGCAACCGCCTAGCAACACCTTAGCAACAACCTAGCAACCACTCAAGACATCCTAGCAACCGCCTAGCAACACCTTAGCAACCACCTAGCAACCACTCAGGACACCATAGTAATCACCTAGCAACACCTTAGCAACCACCTAACAACCTCTCAGAACACCCTTGCAACCGCCTAGCAACACCTTAGCAACCACCTAGCAACCATTCAGAACACCCTAGCAACCACCTAGCAACACCCTAGCAACCGCCTAGCAAGACCTTAGCAACCACCTAGCAACCAATCAGAGCACCCTAGCAACTGCCTAGCAACAACCTAGCAACCACTCAAAACACCCTAGCAACCGCCTAGCAATGCCTTAGCAACCACCTAGCAACCACTCAGAACACCATAGCAAACACCTAGCAACACCCTAGCAACCGCCTAGCAACATCTTAGCAACCACCCAACAACCACTCAGGACACCCTAGCAACGACTTAGCAACCACTCAGAATACCCTAGCAACCACCTAAGCATGCTATGTGACATGCTAATTCATACTAGAATCATGCTAGTAACATGCTAATTCATACTACAATCATGCTAATAACATGCTAATTTATGCTAGAATCTTGCTAATAACATGCTAATTCATGCTAGAATCATGTTAGTAACATGCTAATTTATACTAGAATCATGCTAGTAACATGCTAATTCATACCAGAATTATGCTAATAACATGCTAATTTATACTATAATCATGCTAGTAACATGCTAATGCATGCTAGAATCATGCTAATAACATGCTAATTCATACTAGAATCGTGCTAGTAACAAGCAAATTCATACTAGAATCATGCTAGTAACATGCTAATGCATGCTAGAATCATGCTAGTAACATGCTAATTCATGCTAGAATCATACTAGTAACATGCTAATTCATGCTAGAATCATGCTAGTAACATGCTAATTCATACTAGAATCATGTTAATTCATGCTAGAATCATGCTAATAACCTGCTAATTCATACTAGAATCATGCTATTAATAGTCAAAATCATACTAGAATCAGGCTAGTAACATGCTAATGCATGCTAGAATCATGCTAGTTACATGCTAATTAATGCTAGAATCATACTAGTAACATGCTAATTCATGCTAGAATCATGCTAGTAACATGCTAATACATACTAGAATCATGCTAGTAGCATGCTAATTCATACTAGAATCATGTTAGTGACATGCTAATTTACTCTAGAATCATGCTAGTAACATGCTAATTCATGCTAGAAGCATGCCAATAACATGCTAATTCATACTAGAATCATGCTAATAAAATGCTAATTTGTACTACACTCATGCTAATAACATGCTACTTAAACTGTTTTTAAACTAAATAAACTATTACCAACAGGCTTTGTCAAGCCAGCCTCAAAGTTTGTCTCGACGAACTTTACTGTCTAGTTGAAATACTATTTCCCACACTTTATTTTGATGGTCTGTTTGTAAAATTCAAGTTACATTGCATTTATATGCCAACTAATTCACATTAGATTATAAGTAGACTGTTAGATTGGGGTTATGGTAAGTTGACATGTACTTGTAAAGTTTCTTATAGTCAGTTAAATCTCTGTTGAAGAAGCAGTATCAGCAGATATTAAGTAGACAGCCTACTAATTCTCAAATGGACCATCAAAATAAAGTGTTACCATGCTACTTTACTATTATATATGGTATTTTGGAGCTGAAAAAACTAAACTCCAATTGGATACAACTGAAATAAGAAATTCATATAAACCTAATATGTTTTAAAGGGGAGTAAATCAAGAGGTAATTTGGCTAATGGGTTTTTTATCAAGTGAGAGCCTATAAAAAGTTTATAAATTTGTAGTCAAATCACACACACACAAAATTGAAGATGATGATGATGCGGCAAAAAAATGGTGTGTTTGAGCATTCTACTCTTGTGATCATGCCCTGTTTTGCTTGTTTAGATTTTTTGGACTGTTTTGCGTTCATATTTCAGTCAAACCATACCAGAGTTCATTCAGAAGTACACAGACACTCGTCTTCTCAGTGGTCTCGGCCTGTTTGTTTGGAGCACAGCAGGGTCCATTCAAATAGACCGCATTCACAGACCAATCACACTTCAGTCTGTTTTAATCAAACCAAACCTTACAAGTGTGAACATAACCTAAATGACAACAATTCAATTAATTTGAGACTGACCTCCTCATCGTGACCCAGGCCAATGTAGAAGGTCCTGCGAGGAGTGTAGCCTTTTTCCAGCAGGTATTCCAGAGCCTGAAGGATCCCCTTCAACAGCAAACATCATCACAGTTAGCATTAGCAGAAACTGATGAGATGTGTATCCGTTTTAGTGAAAAATAATGAGGTGTTGATTGACTGTACCATCACAGACTGTTTATTATCGATGGTTCCTCGTCCGTAAATGAATCCATTGATCTCCTGTGCAGAGAAAGGAGGAGCGTCCCATCCATCCGCCTCATTTGCTGGCACTACATCAATGTGAGCCAGGAGCATGTAGGGCTCCAGATCTGCATCTGTTCCTGCTATCGTGAACAGGTGACTGTAATTTCCAACCACTTCATGTCTGACCAGACTGGAGGAGAAGACCTTCGGGAAAACTGAGAAAGAACCAGTTGTAATCTAACACTACTTTAGTTCATTCATTACAAACCTTAGCAATTCCTGATAAAAAAGTAGTAGTTTTCCATTAATATAGTTGTTAATAAGTAATTAATTAACATTTCCAGAGTTCTCACTATTATTGCTTGATATTGCTTGATAATAATAGCAGGTTTGGCAAGCTGTCACAGGAGAGAACTCTGAGCTTGGAGATAATTGAGCTCAGGGCTCCCACCTGGTCAATGAGCATGTAAGGGGAGTATGAAATCAGGTAGTTCACGAGAGCTCCCCCTGGTAAAGGAGGAAAGAGGGAGATGGGGTGGATGGGGGGTTTCTCTGAAAACGAAGATAAGGGAGTAGTTTTAGCCAGGCTACATATAGTGAGTTTGGATTAAACTGATTGGCTAACTAATGATTATAGATGAGAAACCAGCTGTGATCAATTATATCACATGCTCCTCTCTAAATTAGTTTGTGAAACTTCACTTGACATTATTCATTTTTACGATGTTTGTAAGCTTTACCCTATTATCAAATTTGGGAAATGTATTTAATTTAAAAAACACATTGTATAATTACATTGCTTTTAAGCAAAACAGGGTCAAACAAAAATGCATCTGTTCCACTTTATATTAAGTGTCCTTAACTAATAGGTACTTACATCAGAAAATAAGCACAATAAGTAATCATTGAGCTCATACTGATGGGTCAACCGTTCGTTTATACTACAGATTTTTATTTATTTACTTTAAAATACAAGTACAATGTAAACCATGCATGTAAATAAAAAGTGCATTGTACCAACTGATTCATTCATACAACATATTGTAGATTAAACCTAAATCAAACTATAATTCAGTGGCTAAGTAGTGCATGAATAATGATGTACTTATATTCACCAATAAATCTAAGAAATTGTATTATCCTTTTTCTCACAGCAGGGTTTAATCTTGAGTTTGTCTATCAAGTAAAGAAATGTAATGTATTTATCTTCACTCATCTTAATTTATTTTCTGGTGCTAATTATCAAGCTACAGAAAGTTTGGCAAAAACAGGTGGCACCAGAATTTAGCTAAAAAAAACACAGTTAACTATTACTATTTTGCTCATTAAAATTAATAATTGCAACATATGTCTTGTCAGAAGAGTGTGTAAATAATAGTGTGTAATAATTCTATAAATAAAATATTTAAAAGTGATAGGTTGCCTAATAATTAAACTTGTATTTACTCACCCTTAGGTAGTTCTAAACCTTTATACCTTTATTTCATCTGTTGAAGACAACATTTAATATTTTGTTAGAATCCAGTAACCATTGACTTACATTACATCAGAGATGCCCAAACTAGGGCCCGAAGGCCCAAAATAACCTTTGATTTGCCCACCATCCCATCAGAGAAGAGAGTGATGTTGAGGGTTGGGGCAAGTGCTTTAAACAGAAATTATCATTTCTAATTTAATAAAACCTTCTTTTTGTTAGTTCCTTTTATTGTTCTGCTCAAAAAAGCTAACTGAAATTAAATGTTTCCATGAAACCTATCTGTAAATGAATCGGATTTTAGAAAATGTAAATACTGTCACTTGATTGACAGAAGACAATGCAGACAACATTGGCGAGCAAATCAAGGCAAAAACAAGTGCTCCACTGGACTCCATTCTGTTATCAATGGGATTGTTTTTGTTTTTAATATAATAAGTTCATTATAAGATATAAAAAAATGCCTGCATTAGTAAATAGAAAGCAATGTTTTCTAGCTACTAGTTTTTTGTTATTATATAAATTACCCATAGCAACTTTAACATAATACAGTTTGGTATATTTACCTTCAGCCCACCACCTTCAATTAAGTTTGGTTTTTGGCCCTTTATGAGAAAAAGTTTAGGCACCCTGCATTACATGAAAAACAAATATACTACAGAAGTCAATGGTTACAGGTTTCCAGCCTTTTTCAGAATATCTTCTTTTTTGTTCAACAGAAGAAAGAAACTCAAACAGGTTTGTGGCAAATGAGGGATGAGGAAATAATGACATAATTTTCAGTTTTGGGTGAACTACCCACATCTTACATTCATTTTATTTACACAATTTTAAAAACAGTTCCCTCACCAAAGAACGTGTGATATGTGCATTTCTGGTTTACAAAAGATAATGGGGCAGCAGTTTGTGCAAGGTTTTATTGCTTTGACTGTATGTTGTTGTATGTCGAGTCTCACCGCTCCTCAGCAGACCGTCAAACTCCTGCAGCGCGCTCGTGTTCACGTGTGTCTCGGTAAAAGACACGGTAGGAATCCGAATGGCCGCTATAACAGAGATGAAGAGAAGCCATCAGAAACATGTTATCTCCGACAACAGCTAACTTTCATACGTTTATGCCTTCCGACAAATCCGTTCACATCACGTGACATTGGTTTCACATTAAACTGCGCGTTAGCAGCAATCGGAAAAGAGGTGGATTCGGCATTTCTGCGTTGATTTTTTTTTACCTTTGAAATTTGCCAGCAGATTCTGTCTCTGTTGTGTGCGTAATTGAAGTGAAATGGTTGTTGTGTTTTCCCATTTTCCCAGATGAAGCCCCGAGCCCACGTCAAGTGTAAACGTCCTAACGGTGGCCACGAGCAGCAGAGCTATAATGGAAAATATGACACTAAATAGCAGCACTTTGATAAACTTCCATAATTTCCAGTGAGTGTTGTGGCCTGTCATGTTTCAGGAAGCGCGAAAGACGGTCATTACAGGAGCAGGGTTCATGTTTATTTAATAGCTCGCCGATAACGCAGCAAGAGCGCCATCTGCTGCTGAGGATTACAGTTACGTTCAAGATAATATTAGTATTATTTAATAACTTTGACATTTCAAATGTCCTTTCTAACAATTTCATTTTTTATCTAAAGGTAATGCATAGTGATACATTTGCTATATTTTTAACATGAAAATATTAATATATGAATTCACTTTGCATGTATTTAACGAGCAAAACCTAGTAAATGACTTGATTTGTACAGTACATTTAGGTTACCAAATTCTTGTATTGTTTATTTAAAACGTGTATGACTGATAGATAGATAGATTTGGACAAATGTCAGATAAAAACTTGTAATTCAGGTGATATCTCTATGTAAACGTGTATGTGTGTGTAATAAATGTTCAATTGTAAATGTAACTGTTTTAGAATGTATACTAATGCTAACATTCGTATATCAGTATTGATTTTATATAGGTTAGGATAGTAGGATATTAAAAATATTTTCATTTTCCATTAGAAATAAATCTTTTTTATTTCATATAATCATATAATTTTTAGCATGGCAGCAGGTGATACAAGACTCTATGCAGTTAATAGGAGACAGACAGCAGATGAATGACTGCTTGTGAATGAGATTTAGGGGAGGGCCTACAATACAGTTGAAGTCAGAATTAATAGCTCCCCTAAATTATTAGCCCCCATTTATTTGTTTTACCCAATTTCTGATTAACAGAGCGCAGATTTTTTTTCAACACATTTCTAAGCATGATAGAATTTAATAACTCATTTCTAATAACTGATTTATTTCATCTTTGCCATGACAGACATATTGTACTATATTTTTATGACACTTCTACACAGCTTAGTGACCTTTAAAGGCATAACTAGGCTAATTAGGCAAGTTACTGTATAATGATTGTTTGTTCTGTAGACTATCGAATAAAAATATAGCTTAAAGAGGCTAATAATTTTGACATTAAAATAGCTTTTAAAAAATTTAAAACTGTTTTTTTTTTTTTCTAGCTGAAACAAAACAAATAGGACTTCCTCCAGAAGAAAAAATATTATCAGACATACTGTGAAAATTTCCTTGCTCTGTTAAACATAATTTGGCAAATATATTAAAAAAGAAAAAACAAATTCAAAACAGGGCTAATAATTCTGACTTTAACTGTACACTTGATTAAACATGTAAACTAAGGCAGTTAAATTACTCTGACATAAAATAGTGCAGCTGTTACCCATTTGTAGCCACATTACATCCAATTTAATCTGTAATCAAAATTATCCAGATCTGTATTTTCTTACTTTTGATAAAAAAGAAAATCATTGACTAAAGTTTGACACCAAGGTTAAGGCAAAAGGTAAAATATATAAACCTTACGTAGTTTATAACCTGTTATGACAATAGAAAACTTTATTTGCTCTCTGTATCTTGATGACTTCGCAAGATTATGGTGAAGGGCAACTATCCTTTCATTCACATCCATAAACGTCTGAATACTGTTTTTAGTGATCTAACTTTCACTATTAATCATTGACAATAGCAACAGGGCAAAGTCAAACATACAAACTCTGACTTACAGTAGACTACCTTTACTGTATGAGAACAATGAGAACCTGTGATCTAAGATGTTGAGTTCAGTGAATGGCAGTGGTCTGTTTGGACATGTGCATACCCAGCTGACCTTGAAGATGCTCAAAATTAATCTTAAAGTTTCCCAACACTTACACAATAGATAGCATTTCTGATCTATAAAATATATTAATTTTCCACCCCCCAAAAATGAAGTTGGACATAGCATTTTTTATAAAGGTGGATTTCAAAATTGATAACTGCAAGCATTGTGATTTTGCAAGAAGAAACATTATGAAAGGGCAAGAAATGTTGCCTTTTATTCACATCTGCACTAGAATGGGATGCGATTGGCATTTCAAAAATTTAAACTGTTAGTTTGTTCAAAAAATGGCTACCTGTTAAACAATTTATATTATTTTCTATAATTTGGTATTTTTTAGTTTAACATAATTTCATGAAATAGTTTGGGGTAAATGTATTATTTTTTAAACAAATCCAATATTAATATATACAGAAAAAGTTAGTCCAAGGACCTCAAAATGAATGGCAAGTAATGAAGTTGCTTACCAAAATGCGTAGGTGCAGTTTTAAGGAATAGCCATGTCAATAAAAGCTTTTAATATAGTTTTACACATTTTTAGCATGCCTCAGACTTCCTTTTGCTGTTTATTCTGATGAATTCTCTATTGTTACTCGCCAATCTGTCCGATCTCATGAACCAATCACAGGTGTTTGTTTACGGTTTTACATGCAGAGAAAGATGCATGTGCGCTCATCAGCAGAGCTACAACACATGAGGATGTAAATGATGTTTGGGGGGTGGAAGTGATCGCTGCAATCCCAACACAGCAGCTAAAATACATACAGATGCGGTGCGGCCTCCGTTTATACAGTTTATTGGGTGACTTGTGCGAGTGATGGCCTCTTTGTTGCAGCCAATGCATATCCAGTGTTTTGAGCTGTTGTGACGCGAGCAGAACAATCTCTCCTATGGTCTCATCCAACCATATGAGCTAAATAAACAAGAAAACAGATCGCAAGAGGCACGGTGACGTTCCAAGCGTTACATTAGTAGGTTAGATATTAATTCCTTACCCAAAGATCACAGACACATTAATTAAGCTTCTCTTGAGCACTTTTTGGATTCAAATTCTGGTGACGACAAAAACAGAATTTTCCAGAATCATTTAGTCTTCAATGTTACACAAAACACTTTAAGTGACACAAATACTTGACAAGAATTGCGTCAAACTTTAAGGTTCTTACTTTTGTGGACATTGTGATGCAATTTAGCATGTAGGACTCTTTGGTGAATAGAAAGTAAAAAAATATTAAAACCTTTTCTTGCAATCTGTCATTTTTTTGAATTCCTTTTGAATTAAATAGTTAAATTTGATCTGAAAAGAAATTTGATTGGAAAAAAATTCATTCTGATGCTAAAGAGTTTGAACTGTAGTCTACAAACCACTTTATTTAGTCAGAACCAAAGCATACAAACGTAACATTTTAGGAGCGAAGTGTCGGCAGATTCCTGACATCACTGTTCTGCATGAGCTGGAAGTAAAACAGCACGATCTCTTCATAGTTCTGAATGGAGATTCTCTCGTTCACTCCATGGAATCTGAAGGAAAGTACAAGTTGGTTAATATTTAGTCTTTTTACAGCATCAGACACTTCAATATCATTTTCATGTATCGTACCTTGCAGAATCTCCAGGTTTGTACCATGAAGGAGCAAAGCGATAGATGTCCGGAGACAGTTGAGTGTAGTGCCGGCTGTCAGTGTTGGCCACACAGATGCCTGTGAGAGCAAATCATAGAGCTCGTTTGTTGACAAAACAAAGAGTTAGAGGAGCTCTTTGGGAGTCAATGATTTATGTAAAGTGCACTTAAACTGCTAGAGCTCTTGACAGTGAGAGCTTGATGACAATGCTGAAAGTCTCACCTGGAGTTACAGTGACCTGAGGGAAGATGTCCTGGACGCTTTTCTTGATGATCTGGTAGCCGAATGTGTCGTCCTCATAGGAGCTGATTGGCAGAGGGTCAAATCCATTGATGAACTCCACTTTCACCCGCTTGTCAGATACAGTGGATTCAATCAGGTTGAGAACCTAGATAGGGAATGGAGAATTCGTTTGGTTTTCGCAAACTTTAAAAAGTTTTGAAAATTGTGTATTTAATCATGTGACCAACATAATTCTGTGATACATTTGTTTCCATTTTACTTGGTAGGCAAGCATTAACAATATAAAAATAAACAATGCAAAATTAATGTTAAAAAACAAAGAAAAAAAATGAAAATTAGAGAGGAAAATACATAACGTATGATGTAAAAATTTATACAACAGTTCTGTCTGGTTCTTGAATCTGATTGGCTGATAGCCATGCAATATTCTGCAAATAACAGCACTACTACCGCCTATTCACCCCTGTGTATTACTCCGCACACATACAGCGACAGGCAGAGAACGCTACAGTTTGACAAATATTGCAGCTTTTGGGCAATATAATGTCCTAAAGAGTGTAAAGAATGTAGTTGCTTAGATTACAACTTTGCAGTTCATTTATAAGGATAGAGCCTATTTTTAAATATGTATAATTTCAGATCATCAGATTCAGTACATCGGCCAAAAAAAGTGACAGTTGACATTCCGCCACAAGATGGGGACAGAGGGCGCATGATAAGTCCTTTGGGGAGAAAAACATTTTCTCATCGTAAATTTCAAAGAGCAGAACAAATCATTATCAATCAGGTAAGTGACATTCTAAGTCGATCTCTATCTTTTGTATTTTGTATTCCTGTATTTATTCCACAGAGACTGGTAGTGTTTGCTTTGCTTTGGCTTCTTTTGGTTAATTATTGTGATGTCCCGATTGCAACAGAGAAATACTGGGAAATCTCTGTAGATTGATGGTATTTCATGACGTTCAGCCTTATAATCCTAAAATGTCAGCAAAATCATCCGTTTTGTCATTACTGTAGATATTATGCTAACGAATAATTTAAACACTAGCTCTAAAATGACGTTGGTGATTTAGTAATGGTTTCTGCTGTTCTGACAGTCAACTGCAGATGTGAATGAGTGACGGAAATAGTTCCTCGTACTATGTGTATTTCGGCACTGGTGAGGGGCACCAAGGCACTCAGCCTCCAGTCTCAAGCCATTGTATTCCTCCCACCAGTGCCGATATACAGTCACATCCCACTGCTACTCGTGTGATATTGCTCATATAAAATTCACATATGTCCTTCATTAACAGCACATATTAACTAATTGATTGTTGTTTATTCATCTTTAAGGTAGTTACGTTTAATATTTGGTAGGATAAGGAAAGTTAAATAAGATGCAGAATATGTACTTTAGAAGTAGTAATAAACAGCCAGCATTTTAATAACATGCAGTTAATAAGCCACTAGTTATTGTGAGAATCTAAAGCTTTACCAAATAAATCAATATTAATACTGCTTGTACTAAAATACGTCTGATATATGCATCTGCTACATGCTAATTTTCATTTTCACACTTTTAGTTTATCGTGGCGGCTCATGTTTGGAAAACAATTTAAAAATCATAACTTGGACAGATTACTTAACGTAACTACAAGTCTTTCCTGTCATAGTTGTTTTTTATACCACATTTGGTGGATGTTCATTTTTAACCCTGCTTTGGATGATTGTCTATTTATGTGGATTGCTGCAACTGTAGATTTGCATAAGGGTAGAGCTAAAGCTTCCTGTGTTGTCTGGCATTTCCTGTGCCAATGCTGTTCCTTTCACCTCCTGCACTGTCTGTGATGAGTGGATGCGGAAATTGACAAAGGCCTCAGCATATGCCGGCATCACATTAATCTGTCAAGACACAGCAAGAATAGTCAGATCACCATTCAAGAGCTTTTATCATCTAACATGTACAAATAGACAAAATAATGCACGTAAAAGCCCACCTTTACACCAGAGTTGAACATGGTGACTGCAGTCGTTGTTCTCACAAAGGCATTTGTGTCAGGCTGTCCTTCCAAAACACTGCAAATGTGGTTTAAAATTGTTACAGATCTTAACAATTGCTTACAACTTACAGCAGTGAGCAGAAATGAGCCCTACCTGCTGAGCAGAGAAGAGAAGAGCCACAGATTTGACATGATCATTCTATACGACCACCCAAACTAGAAGGAAAAAGAGAATTTATGAAGATTATGAAAATTGCAAAAAAAAAAAAAAAAAAAATAGTGTATTTACATGGCAACCATATATCAACCAATCAGAGACAAATTCTCCTCTATTGGAATTGGGAAATAGTTAAATTAACTGCTTGCGTCACTCATGCACTTAGATGCTGTTTGTGAACAAAGTGTGCATCACAGGACACTGACTGTTTCTAAATGCAGCTGCAGTGACGCCCTGACTTTACCAACTGGCCACTGGCTCTTTTATGGCTTGTTTCCAGTGAGTGGTCTAGTACGGTACGGTTCGGGTCGGTACTGATCACCTTTATCAGGCTTACGTTTCCACTACCAAGGGTACCCTTTTGGTGGGCGTGGTGTACGACAGTTTCAGTCAACGTCATTCTCGCTCAAATAAATGTGAACAGTAAAGCCGTAAAGGTGTTCACACATCATACGAGAAGCACTTCTCACAAAACAGATGCTTTATACACATAAATACTTGTTTATTAATGTTTATTACTAACCTTTCTATGAACATGATTTGATTATAACTGCAGATTATGGACGGTGCAAAATAGCCTACTTTAACATCTGTATTTATTTAAAATAAACAAATAAATGAACATATATGAACACAAACAGCCCCTTAGTCTTCGATATGTTACCAACTACAGAAAAACTACACGCAGCAGACATTTAGTCCTTATTTAGTTTAAAAAACAATGCATCATAGCCCACAGTCAGCGCAAACCTCTCATTCGTGTCTGTAATCTTTACCAGCACATGTAGCCTCATTTAGAGAGTAATTCCGTCATTCAGAGTTCATAATAGTCCAGAAGGGAATGATAAACATGGCAGTTTGTTTGTGATTCAGGTTGCTAAAACAATTTGCTCCTGAGTTTTGTCGGGCTTCTCCTTTGTTCACGCTTCACTCTCGTGTTTTTCCTTTTCTTTCTGAATGAGTCACATGCGTTTGTCAGTTTCCTACTGGGTCGGGTTTCAAAAGCAAGTAAATAATTAGGCGCACACTATTATCTAAGGGTGTCACGATCCTCCAAATTCTCGATTCAATTACATTTTTGATTCTAAAAGGCACGATTCGATTAGATTTTCGATTATGAATAATTAATTAATTAATTAATGACCAATTCATTATTTGTAGTCTACCGTTTAAACTACCTGACCTGCATGGTCATTGTTTTACCCATAAACAAATCATACAGTAAATGAATAAAGGCAAGTTACACATATAATTACCACCTGTCAATCACTTTTTCTGCGGGACTCGTGAATAGGCAGTGATCTTTATAATGGCAGTGATCGTTGTTATAATGGCATCGGTAAAAAAGAGGCACAACCAACAGGAACCAGCCAACAGTATCTGAGGTGTTCGCTAAAATGACTAAGTACAAGTGAGTGAAAGATTGAAGCAGTCCTCTGACTGCCTGGACCTGCTGTCTCGAGCGCATGGCTGTCTGCGTCTGTGTCTGTGTGGTCACGTGATGTGCATTTTTAGAGGTAACGTTAGAGAGGAAGGAGGGCTGCTCAGAAATGCTACACGCCACTGTGTATGTCAAATCGTTGTCGTTTTAAAATGCCATTTAAAAACAAAGACAGTGTAAACAGGGCCTGAGTGTGTACTTTTCGCAAGCGGATTTGCAACGGGGGCGGGCGGAGGATCGCGATGCCGGTGTTGTCTATCGGACGAACCATACCTAATACGTACATAGCAGAGCTTGCAAAACTGTGTTTTTTTGTCGACAACACGAACGTTGTCAACATAACTCACTGGAAATCCAAAATGCTTACACACCGGCGACTTCATTGAAAGAGGAGAGGGTTTAAGTTCTGTCGACGGGTCTCCTGCGTCTGCAGTTTAACAAGCACTTCAACAAGCCTGTTTTTTTCCCGCTTGGCAAGCCAAGCTGACGTGACATCGGGGCGTGGCAGCATCGACGATTCTATTTTTTGATTCGATAATCGAAATTGAGCATAAATTTCGATCGATTTCGATTTTGACACCCCTACTATTATCATCAGCTCAAGAAGTTTGTTACTTTAGATATAGACACGCGGCGAGCGTAAGCAAGAAAGCGAAACCTATCACGCTTCAGGCTGGCTCGTAAAAAACTAAGGGGCACAGGGTAAGACTGCTCTTCTTTTTGGTTTTGTGGCTGTTCATCAAGACGACGACAAGGTTTGTTTAAGCCCAGGTCGACCATGGCTCGTTATTAAATATATATATTTACGCTGTAAAAGATCTCTCGGCTGTGTATTTTAAACATGGCGGCTCTTTTGTTTTCATTCTAGCTTGTGGCGCAAGCGAATGATGTTTCTCTGTAAACCAATAGCGTTCAGCTGTGCATCTAGCTCCGCCTTTTTGTACCCTTTCTCGTGTTTGTTACCCTTTCTAAAGGGTGCCGAAAAAGTGGTACAGTACAGTTTGGTACGCCTTTTGACAGTGGAAACTATATAAAAGCGTACCAAACCAAACCGCTCAGTGGAAATGGGCCATTATTTACAAGGCGAGGCTTATTCTGCCATGCTGTTCTTTCTCCTATTTGCAACTGTACTTTTACTATCTTTTTAGTATCTTTTAGTGTGCTTTTTAAATATGTAGTATAAAAGCATTCAGTATAAGGAGAGTTCTTTCAAGCATTTTAAAACATGACTGTTACATTGTTACCTTATGTGCCAGGTGCTCAAATGTGGCACGCTCAGGACCATGACCAAAAAGATTAGGCATCCTATTTTTCTCCAACCTGGAAAATTTAGTCAAACAAAAGAAAACACAAGACACTTAACTCTTTCTTGCTCAGATCATTTTTCTTTATCACCTCCCTTACTTAAGCTAACCTTTTTACATTCTGACACAACATACTTTCTTAATTCTTTTTGAAATGTTAACATTTTTCATACTGAAGTAAATAAACCATTTATGACCTTGCAACAGCTGATGCCAGGATGCCAATGCTGCTCTCTCTGGGTGGCATGGATGAATGTCCTGGAGGAGTGCTGACACTCAGCTTTACAGTGGTCTGACCCTTCTCACTTACACCAATTCTACCAAAACACACAGAAAAAAAAGGTTACACACAAGTTTAATACCCAAACAACGATATTAAAGCAGTAAATCAATGGTCTCACAATGCAGCAGGTTCATTCAGGCCATCAACTACACCATCCATAATTGTGAGACCTTCATCTAAAACGTAAAGAAGCTTCACTCCACGACTCTTCAACAGATTCACAATCTTCACTGCACCTTCTTCACCATTGATCTTTAAGAAAACAAAAATCTGCATTAATACAAGATTTCGGCTTTAATTTCTGCAGATGGCCTTGAGACTGACTTCCTCATCGTGACCCAAGCCAATGTAGAAAGTCCTGCGAGGAGTGTAGCCTCTTTCCAGCAGGTATTCCAGCGCCTGAAGGATCCCCTTCAACAGCAAACATCATCACAGTTAGCATAAGCATGGACTGATGAGATGTGTATCTGTTTTAATCGAAAAATTATGAGGTGTTGATTGACTGTACCATCACAGACTGTTTATTATCGATGGTTCCTCGTCCGTAAATGAATCCATCGATCTCCTGTGCAGAGAAAGGAGGAGCGTCCCATCCATCCGCCTCATTAGCCGGCACTACATCAATGTGAGCCAGGAGCATGTAGGGCTCCAGGCCTGCATCTGCTCCCGCTACTGTGAACAGATGACTGTAGTTTCCCACCACTTCATGTCTGACCAGACTGGAGGAGAAGACCTTCGGGAAAACTGAGAGGGCCAAAAAAAAAAAAAAAACTTTAGAATTGAAAACATACTTACACTCCCAATGTTTTAATGTTTTATGAATCTCACCTCTCCTCAACAGCAGGTCAAACTCTTGCAGGGCAGTTATGTTCTGATCAGACTCTGAAAAGGACACTGTAGGAATCTGAACTGCCACTATACAAACAAAAAAAGAAAATCTGAACATCTGAATGTTTAGATTTACATCGAAACTTGAAAACAACCTGCTTTACTGAACAATCACCAAGTCTTTAGACTGATTTTTTAAAAGAATATTCTGTTTATAAAGTTTACATTTAAAGTGGATGACAGGTTTTTCAAAGTTGTTTTTAAGACCAGAATGGGTGTTGTTTGGTTGTTATAGAACTTTTCAAAATGTTTTAATAAGGGCTGCATGGTATAAGAACAATCTAGCATTGCAATATTTTATTTTGCGATACATATTGTGATATAGGGCTGTGTGATTTGGCAAAATCTCGATTAATTTTCTTTCAAAGTTCACTGATAAGCTTTGTACAGTAAATTTGCTCACATATACAAGTAAGATATTTCTGAATGAAGGTGAATTACTTGATTTTAAAATAATTGAAGGAAACACACTATCTACCATCTATGATTGTTTATTGAACATTGACTTTAAATAACTGAAATTAAAATAAACATTGCATGAAACCAACAGTGACTTTTTTTCTTATGAAAGTGAAAATAAATTCAATTCAATTCAATTCAGCTTTATTTGTATAGCGCTTTTACAATGTAGATTGTGTCAAAGCAGCTTCACATAAATGGTCATAGTAACTGGAACAGTGTGGTTCAGTAACTGGAACAGTGTGGTTCAGGTTTTAGTGTTTAAGTTCAGTTCAGTTCAGTTTAGCTCAGTTCAGTGTGATTTAATCATTACTGAGAGTTCAAACACTGAAGAGCCAATTCATCGATGCGTAGCTCTACCAATCCTGAACCATGCGAGGCAGTGGCGACAGCGGAGAGGGAAAAAAAACTTCACCTGAAGTTAATAGCTTGCACTTTTGGAAACAAAATAAATTATATTGCGCCGGACCACAGCCATGCGCCAGACCACATCTGTGCGTTTGACAGAAGTTTAAATCAGCCTTAACAGAGCTGTAGGGAAAGTAACTAAAAAAAATGACCTGAAAAAATTTGATTGAGATCAACATTTAGAACCTATAATCGATTACTTTTCGATTAATCGCCCAGCCCTGTTGCAATATTTCACCAGATTACTTAATATTTTTATTTGGAAATAATTTATAATGTTAGATCAATTGTGATCAGTGGGAGTGCATCTCCATAAAATCATTATCATAAAACAATCTCTAAATTTCCCTGACAGTTTCATTGTGGTCTGTGCTGTTTGCAGTGCATTTCTGTATTTGTATGTGTTGCGAGTATTTTCTTGAATGTGTTTTGTCGATGATTGATGTTTAATATTTGCATCTCCATAAAATCTAATAAACAATCTGTAAACTTTTTTGGGGTCCCCCCCCCCCCCAACACATTTTAATTGTGGTCTGTGCTATTTGCAGTACATTGCTGTATTTGCATGTGTTTAGGCATGGAACGATAACTGATTTTAAGGTTATCACGGTTTGGAAAGGTCAAGGTCTTAAAACTGCCAAAGTTTTCTGTTATCCTATTCCTAAGGTATGTATAAGTTGTTGTGTTTTAAACATGTTTTTCACAACTATTTTATTTAGTTTTTTAGGGCAACATTTTAAATGTTTATTAAAATAAAATATATTGTGCTCAATGGGGGAAAAGTTTTTTTTTTTTACCCAGACATTTAAAAAGAACTTATTTTGGAGCAGCAATTACAATACTGTGACGTTTTTGTTATCATATCATCAGAATCTTATACTGGCCATCGATAAATATAATCAACCAAAAGATACAACAAAAATCTAAGAAACCTAAAACAGTCTAACAGTAAAAGTAAAGTCACAAATGACACAATGTCTTATACCTGTATTTTTTTTAAATCATACAATCATAAGCATCAAAAACTATTATAATACAAACTCAATATTTATCTTGCAATGTGACTATTGCGAACGATCATATCATATTGATGCTGAAACGATAAATTGTGCAGCTCTAGTTTTCATCCACTTTAAATGTTGACATATAGTGCTCAGCATATGAGTACACCCATCACAAATCTACATTTTAAATTCATATTTTTAATAGAAAGCCATGCAATATTATATTTGTGCATTTACATTAGATTAGTCAGCACTGAAGCCAAATCTGGACCTTATCTAACAAAATAACTTAGGATAACAGTCCAAAAACTAGTACAACCAAATTTATATTATAGAAAAATATGAAATACAAATTTTAAAAAAGAAGAAAAATCAAAAGTGAAAAGTTTAGTTGTATATTTGTGGGTTGTGGTTTTTGCATTATTTTGCTTAAATTTAATTGTATTATCTTTTAATTTCTAAATATGTTTGGTGAGAAATATTATTTTAATAAATATATATCTGTTTAATAAATCAGTTTTGTTTAAATGCACCAAAAAAAAAAAAAAAAACACATCGCCAATATTCACTGGGACATAAATACAAATATGCATTTTCAAAATGGGGTGTACTCAATTATGCTGAGCACTGTATATACACTAAAATCATTTATTAAATAATCCCCATTGAATCCTATAAAGAGTTATTAAAACATATTTCTAAATAAATTCTCTTTTCTTACCTTTAAAGTTGTCCAGTAGCTTCTCTTTTTGTTCTGGACTTAAATAGGGATAAATGGTGCTTGTATTTTCCCATTGACCAAGCTCTCTGTTCACTTTAAAAGTAAATGTTCTACCGATCACAACCGAAAACAAAATTAAAACTGAAAGTAGTAGGATTGCAAACAGTATCCCAAAAAACTTCAAAACAGTCTTCTTGGTGAATTTGGTCTTCATCTTTCAAAAGTTCAGCAAAAAATGACAATCATGTGTAAGATCAGGGTTCATATTTTTATAGCCTCACTGATGACGCAACAAAGGGGCCTCTGCTGGTGTGATATAACACCAATAACAAAACGTAAAGACCAACTTATCTTAGACCAACTTATTTTTTGGATTTTTTTTTTTTTGGATTAACAAAAAACTCAAATATTTTAACACTTAAAACTAATGAACACAATTTGAGTAACTATTTAAATAAGGTTTCTTCTATTTTTAGAAGCCATCTTAGAAGCGTCGAGCATGACGCCTGGCCCGTCTGCGTCTAGGAGGAGGGAGTCGAGCCGCCACACTGGCCTTCAGATCCTCTCTGTAAGTGCTAAGTTCATGCCAGTGTCTGCTGGGTGAAGCTGCAGGCTCCTGTACACGACGAGGGAGGAACTGTCTTAACACTGGAAAAAGCCTTTTGTCTTGCTCAAACCTTTCAAGAACTTCATCGACCGCATTCCCAAACAGGCCAAATGGAGATATCGGGGCATTGAGGAGGAAAATTTTGTCACTTTCCTTCAGAGAGGACAAATCCAGCCAGAGATGTCTCTCGGTGACAACCATTGCAGCCATAGAGTACCCAATGGCTTGGGCTGTTTGCTTGATGGTTCGAAGTGACAAATCAATGGCTTTGCGGACTTCGGTAACCGCTTCAGGACCAATGCCCTTGCCTGTGTCCAGGTCCTTCAGCAACTTGGCCTGGTACGCCTGTAACACTGACAGAGTGTGCAACGCACCTCCAGCTTGACCTGCAGCTTTATACGCCTTACCAACCAGACGAGAGGTCACTTGAGAGGGCCCTGGAGGCAATGTTGGGGTGCAAAAAAACGATGCGGTGGAAGGGGAGAGATGGTTCCCTAACGCCTGTTCCACCTTAGGCATGGCTACATAGCCATGCTCTTTCAACCCCACGACATTAGAGGAGAAAGACAGCACTGGGTGATATACTGGGGCCGCGTAAGGAGTCTTCCATGACCTTGACAACTCTCTGTGGGTGTCAGGTAAGAATGGAAGGCTCTGCTTTGAGGGGTGAGCTTGGTCTGCAATGATATACATCCCATTCAGCCGATTGGGTTTCTCAATGGGGTCTCGTGGCCAGTCAAGACTCAGTCTAGCCACAGCCCGAGTAACAACATCAAGCATCTCAAAGTAACCTTGATGCTTAGCAGGTATAACATGTTGTGCTGACCTGATGTTTAACCTTTTTGATGCTGGAAGCTGGTTCTCGTTTAGACTGGAAGTTGTTACAAGGTCCGGTTTCGCATCCAGAATGGGTTGCTCGGAGTGTGGGCGAGCACCTGCGGCTGCGCGCTCGTTTGCGGAGGCCATGCTTACCGCTTCAGCAGACACGGGGCCAGAAACACGGGGTGCAGATGCACGGGTTTCTAAATTGGTAAACACAGCCAGTCGGGACCGGCGCTTGGGTACCGTGAAACGCTGGCAGTGGGCGCAGTCAGAGCCTGCAAGAGCCGCCCGAGCGTGCTCTGCGCCCAAGCACAGAATACAAAACTCATGCGTGTCCTCCATTGCAATACGATGAGTACATGGTCTCACACATTTCCTGAACATTTTGATAGTAGCCATAATGTAATCACAAATTAATACGATGATAAATAATCAAATAACCTTGACAGGAAGGTTTTCTGATGAAAATAGAGAGCAACCGCCAATTTGGGGTCACCTGACTTCCGGTTGAGCCTCGGCCAATGAGATTGCCGTACATTCATAATATAAATCCATCACAAGCGACTTATATAAGTGTATGTAGAATAGCGGTCTTGCAGCCATTTTGTCTACGAAGTACAAAAATATAGTTTTTTTGATAGTGAAACGTGCGTGAGACAGGCAAGTGTATGGGGTTTGTATGCAAAATCAGAATAAACAGTGGGCTACCTGTTTTCCGTAGGTAAAACATTATTTACTAATAGTTATATTTATTTATCTAGCCGTTTAAAATGTTAGTGGGGTTTGGTTCTTAAAAAAAACATTAATCCCAAGTAGACAATTAAAATTTAACAAAATAGTAGGATTTGTAATACACAACCAGAATGTTTTGTATTTGCTATAAAATATTACTTTCCTACTGAATGTTTGTCAACCATTCCAAATAATCTTTCGACAACCCCTTAATAGGAGGTTTATTTGTGTGCTTTTATGAAAACACAAAGCTTTGGAGAACAAATTTATTTATTCACAAATAAAACCACCAAACACAAAGTAGACATTTAAAAGCAAAGTGATCATGACTTCTGTAAGACTGTAAGTAGAATGTGATTGTCTCTGTACAAGTTCAGGTATCTGTATCAGGATGGACAACAAGAGTATAAATAACCTCTGTAACTTTCAAGTAAAGAAAACAGTATAAAACACACGTCTGTATAAGATCAACCAGAAAAAAAATCCATGCAAAGGGCTAGCCGACAACACATCCTTTTTAAAGTTTTAAAACCCTATTCTGTCTTTCAAAAGCAAGCATGGTGGAGTTATGTATATTAGTTCCACTCGGTTCAACAAAAATCTCCTCTGACACTAGTTTATAAAAGATAATTTGAACGACATTTGCTGGACTAGACCCTGAGATTAAATCGACACATCCTCGTTTGGCATCAGTGCATCAAAGCTAAGCGCCAGTGAAGGATGAGATGCATGTGAGAGCCGATTCATGCAGACCATCGAGAAGAGCAGTGAAAGGACTGGAGAGCTGCTCGTCCATGCAGGAGTAGATGATGTAGAGCAGGCAGACCACCATAAGGAAGACAATGACCTGAACCCATAGAGGCACCAGACGCTGCTGAATCTCCTGCCTCTCCAATATAGTGGGACTCAGTAGAGGCAATTCAGGATATTTAAACTGCACGGGACGGCCTGCAGCTCCCTTTATAGATCTTCTCTTTGTAGCACTGTATGCAAAAAAGGGGACATAATAAGAGGCATACAAATCAATAGAAACATAATTGTACTTAAATGGATAGTTCACCCAAAAATGAAAAAAATTACTGTAAATTTACTCTCACGGGCATCCAAGATGTAGGTGAATCTCTTTCTTCAGTAGAGCATTAAAGACTTATTTATCAAGAGTTTCTGCGGTTTCACCAAGTCAAACGTAAGACTTTAAGACCTTTCTACCCCCCAGAATGAAATTTTAGACTTAATGTAAGGTTAAACGCTAAAGATTTTCTTAATGGCCCAGCAGACAAAAAAAAAATTACTTGCCCTATCAAGAAACAAATTAGTAAACAAATAGTAATGTCACATATTTAAAATAATGTGTCGAATCAAGCGCACCCTAGTTGTACGCATGTAATGCAAATGATTAAAACATGCAAATGATTTAAACCTAAAAAAAAAACTGGATTATAGCAATGTTATGTGAAGAATTCTAATGTTGTGTATATGCATTTATTTGACATTTATTTTATATCAAGCCCCCCTTGGACAGGTGTTAAGAGTCTGCTAAAACTCTTGGATGGACATGTGTTGGATCCATTGGGTAGCTTTACATAAAAAAAAAATTAAAATTAAGACCCGTTTAAAATAATTTCAGACATACTAGGCAATATTTCAGTCAACTTAAGACTTCTTAAGGCCAAAAATTTAGTTTTTGAAAATTATGACATTTTAAGACCCTGTGGACACCCCATTAGCTGAAATCATGGTTCTTGGTCATTTATAAAATGACAGTGAATAACTACTGATGCATTGAGAGTCCAAATACAGTTACAATTATTACTGGTGGCCCTTAATCATACAGCACGATCTCATGAGAAAACAATTGGTTTGTTCCATTGCATTATATTAAATCATAAAGGATAAGTTTTAGCCAAAATATTCTTTAAATGTTCTAATATGAAAAAAATAAATAAATAGAATCACCACTTCTTGCATGGACAGTAAGTTACCAGCACATTTTTATTTTTGGGCCAAATATCCTATATTGTACTCACAAGATTCCAGTGGGGGTTCTTTCAGCATCAGGGAACATCTCTGAAAGCACATCTGATGCAGGTTCCTATTGGAGCAAAAAACAACATTCTGAATAGAAAAAATAAGTGTGTGACAAGGCACTCTACTTCAATGAAAATCAAAGAGAATCAGACACCACAAAATATGAAGGAGAGTTGATTAAAGAGGAATAAATGGCCAGACCATGACATAAAAAAGTAATACATGCAAAAACATGACATATCACATATAGAATTTTTTTAAATGTATTTAAAAAATACTTGAGCTCACCTATTTTGCATCTATATGGTAAATAAAATGTAATACTGTAAAATAACATTAAATTCAAAATACCTTTTTTATTTTTACATGAATATCAATTGAGAATTGAGCATCACATGACCCTTCAAAAAGTATTGGCACTTTCAAAACAATGTATAACGTCTTATAAAAAACTAAACATTTAAATATTTATTATATTTATTAATTCTCAAAAGGAATTATTTTGGGTTGAAATACAGCAATTTAGAAAAAGTTACTTTTGACTTCTATAACATTTTTTTCTATCATTGATGTCAATCGTGACTGGCTTTCAACATTTAATATTTCTTCTGTTGTGCTAGGGGAAAAAAAATGGTCCAGAACAAGTGAAGGTTGAGTAAACGACAGAATGAAAATTTTTGGCTAAACTATTCCTTTAACCGTGTAGCTCAACAATACAGAGTTTAGGCATGATGTGAGCTGCTTTCATGTGTGTAGCATTAAGATCTTTTTATTCATGAATAAAGGCAGGCTTTTTTGCTCATTCTGTTCAATTTGATCAACCTAGACTGCATTTTAAAGTATCTTTACCTTCAAAACAAAAAACTGAGGAAACAATAAGCTTCCTCTAACAGTGGAATTAAAAAGATGCATTTTCCTGGCTTATTCCTTTGAACATTTCACAGAGGTTAGAACTCTCAGATCTAGAAAGTCAGTGCAATAAAGGCAGAAAAGAAGGAAACAAAAGAGAACTCAGAGGGAATTCCCAATAGACGCAGAGAGTGTGAAAGCCCATT